GACTACAATAAAGAGCTAGGCTCTGCTGTGCGTGCAGGGGTGAGAGAGCAGAGCAACGCGGAGGTTTCAGCCGTCAGGAGAGCTTCAGGGAGGAGAATCGGGTTCTGAGGGATGGCAGGTAGCACGGGGCAGGCCGCGGGGAGAGGAAAGCACCTGGGTCTGGCACCCCATGTCCCCGAGTCCAAATCCTGGCCCCACCTCTTCTTGGCTGTGTGACCTGAGACCGAGGTAACCGACCTCTCTAAGACATCGTCTCCTCGCCTGAGGAGTGGACACAATAATCGGCACTTCGTGGGGATGGGGAAGATCGGGGAGACAGGTAGGGCAGAAGCCCGTGAGCGGAAGGGACCCAGAAAGTGGGAGCGTTAGAGAAGCGGTTTGCGGACACGCCAAGGCTCTGAAAGCGGATGACTAAGAGAAATGCTAACTCTAAGAACAGAATCTTAGTAGCCGCATTCCTCAGATGCGTACTGATGGCAAGGACTGAGCCACCCGCGGAGGGCAGTTACAAGGCGCTCAAGAGCACAGGGAGCCGGGTGGCTGAATTCTTCCCTGCGTCACCGCGGGCAGGTCACGCCAGCTCCCCAAGCTTGAGTTCCCTCGCTCCTGAAGCGCAGGTACTGGCTGTGCTCTCCTTGGGGCTTGGTGGGGGTGAAATGAGATAAGGTGTGTGAAGTCATCAGCACAGCGCCCAGCGCACAGGAAATGCTCTGTGCCGCCAGTTATTACTCTTGTGTACATGCATTTTCTCCTTTCATCCTCACAACGACCCCGCGAGTTAAGTGTCATTGTCCCCTATTTATAGATCAAGCAGCTGGGTCTCGGAGAACCCGTCGCTTGCCTAAGGTCAGAGAGGAAGCCGAGGGGCCAGCCCGGAGGCCGCAGCGTCTCCGCAGCCCTGCTGTTCAGATAGACCGGTGAATGGCTCCAGCCTTGAGGCAACAGGACAGTTGCTGTGTTTTATTTATCTTTATTGTGGAAAGTATTACAGATGTCCCTCCCCTCGTCTGTCTTTCTCTTCTGGCTGTCCGCACCATGACCTCACCTCCTCATCTGTTGGAGATTTGAGGTCTAGTGTTGTCTGGACCCCGGCTGCAGCCCGTGAGTGCCACCCCTCCTGGGGACTTGCCTCTCCACAGGGTTGACAGGCTTTATGAAATGTCCGTTCTGATTTGCAAATAGGTCTGACACAGACAGGCCTCCAGCTGGCTGGAGATTTCAATAACAGCTCCTCCTCCTTGGTGCCAATTAACAGAAATTAAATGTCCCTGGCACACTTGGTGATTCAGAAAATGCATGCTCTGATGGGTCAAACCCCTGCTGGACATGTCATGATGACCAAGGGCTCCAGCCAGCGTCCCACCTCTCACTCCATCGCCATTTAAAGGCGCAGCTTCTTTTCTTCCTGCGTAGAAATCGATGTCACCTCTTTCATTTTCATTACACGAGTATTGATTGACCATCTACTGGGTGCCAGGTTGTGTTCGATACCGTTGGGGCACCACCGTGACAGGGCAAGGAAGGCCTCTGCCTCTGTGAAGGGGGCAAGTGGTAAACAACTAAACACAGAGAATTATTTCTATGTGATAGGTTGTGCGGGAGACAAGACGATGGGGCAGAGAGTGGCGGAGGGGTAGGAGCTGCAATAGGGAGGGTGGCCAGGAAAGGCTTCCCCAAGGAGCTGACATTTGAACTGAGATTTGAAAACTAAAAAGGGACCAGACATACCATGTGGCAAGGGGAACAGGAACAAGGTCAACATGCTGAGGAAATGCATTCATTAATCAGACATTTTTGATCATGCAGTATATACGTGTTGGATGGATGAGCCCTTTTTCCCGCTAGGAAGGCCCTTCATAAGAAGGGTGAACTGTGGGTGATGTCGCAGCATTTTTTTTCTCTAACACAAGGGGCCTGGCTCTGGCACTGGCATCCCAGGGCTGCAGGAGTTTAAGGACTCACCTTCTTCCAAAGGAATTGGGCTCATGGCTCTTTAAAGCAACGACTGCACAGTCAAAAGCAATCTGTCATTGTTTCAAGCAGTCAGAATGTTTGTTTGGAATTGTGTAGACAAGATGTGAAATGTCATCTCATTTATTATTATTAGGATATATTTATTAAATTTCCACATCCACTTATTCATTGGAAAATACTTATTAGTTGTTGGTTGTGAGTCTCTCTCCCTGTCCTACCCTCCTTCCTCCTCTTCCTCTCCCTCCTTCTCCTTCTTCCTTCCCACCCCTTCTCCCTCTCTTCTCCCCACCTTTCTCTCGCACAGCAGTTAAGATCCCAGGTTATAGAATTGGAACACCGACTCGCTGTGTGACTTTGGGCAAATCACTTCACCTCTCTGAGTCTTAATTTTCTTATCCATAAAATGGGATTAAAAATAAAGTTCCATCCCACAGCAACCATATAGAGTAAATACTGAGCTATCATTATCCTCATTTTGTAGGTTGGGATGTAAGATTTTAAGAACTTATTTTGAGTTTTGAAACTGAGACTTAGATTTTTAAGACAAAAGGAAACATGAGCAAGGAGCGCGACAATGAGCCAGCTGCATGAGCTCTATCCACCTGAAGCATTCCCCACTGAGATCATCAGGACGCCAAGCACCATAAACAGCCTTCGAGGAGTCTCTTCATTTATACTAATACCTGTGAACCAGCAACTATAGACCCCTGCTGTGTGCCACACACTGTTCTATGTGCTTTACTTATATTGACTCATTTAAAAATCTCACCACAGCCCAGCCGGTGTGGCTCAGTGGTTGAGCGTCGATCCATGCACCAAGAGGTTGCTGGTTCGATTCCCAGACAGGGCCCATGCCCAGGTTGTGGGCCTGATCCCCAGTGGGGGGCTTGCAGGAGTCGGCCAATCGATGTGCTCTCTCATCGATGTTTCTATCTCTCTCTCTCTCTCTCTCTAAAATCAATTTTTTAAAAAACAACTTTTAAATAAATAAAAATAAAAATCTCACCACAGCCATACAAAGTAAATATTGTTACTATCCCCATATCGCAGACAGGGAAACTAAGACCTAGAGTGATTACATGATTTCCAGAGCGTCACACAGCTGGGAATTAGTTTGAGAATAAACCCAGGCAATCCAACTCAGGTCTGTGCTGCTAACCGCTCGCCTCCTCATTTAAGCTGGGATGTGGAGCTTTCCTGCTGACACCACAGTTTTCTACTTCAAACGGACTCGTCTTCTGAGTGCTCAGCAAACAAAGAATTATTACCTGCCTAATCCTAAAACCTCGGCCTGTATACACAGCACTAATAAGGGCTGCTGCCCAGCCCTGCATGGTGCCGGCTACAGGTGAATTCACACCTCCTGCCATTGAGGAGATTTTCGGGTGCCTATTAAAATGTCAGTCGATCTTAGGGCTGAAGTTCTTTCTACATCATTTAGCACAACCTGGAAGGTCAAATCAATGTGCGGCCAGCCTGCCCTGCGCAGTTACTTCCTTATTACTTCCCTGTCCCTGCACTTGCTCAGAAAAGCTACCTCGCAGTAAATGAAGTTAAAAGAGCAAACCAGCCACCACCATTCCCCTGGGATCCAGATGCAGTAACCTCCAATAACCTTGCCTTCAGTCTTGGAGGGACATTATCCCAGCTTCTAATGCCAGGCTTATCCGCACATCAAAGCCGCCTGTCTGGGCCCCTTGCAGTGCTAGCGAGCTGACCCATCCCCAGAGGCACGTGCCCAGCATCGGCGCTGGCACCAGCTTAGGCACGGGGAAGAAGAGCGGACGATGTCTAACACAGGCGCCTTCCCTTTTAAGGACTAACAGTCGCAAATAGCAGGATGAAACTCCTGCCCGCGTTCGGTGGTGGTGGCGAACAGTGAAGACAGCCCAAATCCCTGTGGCTTCTGGAGGTGGGAGGGCGCAGGCGTCCTAGTGAGCCAGGCTTTGGGCTCACGCCTGCTTCTCCCGCCCAACGGGAAGGAGCCACCTGGCGCCTCTGCCAGCTCGCGCTGTTGTGCTGAGCGGGGCACAGCAGCAGATGAGTCAGTGCCGCGTGGCATTTGCAGGCTCCGAGAGCTCAGTTTTGAGCCCAAATGTGGCTGCCTGCTCGGAAGCTCGGGCTCCTTCAGTACACCGTGTTTCTGGGGCCACAGACCACGATCCTGCCTGTGCACAGTGGGGGTTCGGCAAGACTCCCCAAGCTGGCGTTTCTCATGAACTTGGCTGGTCAGATCTGACTGTCCCACCCCACCCTGCCGGGAATGAGGCCGTGATCGCCATTCCAGTGTCCCCAAGGAGAAAATTGGCCTGTTAAATCAGCAAGAGCCCTCGGTGAGGAAGGACACCGGGCTTCAGATGAAAGAAATTGGGCAGAAGATGAAAGTCCCTCTCCCACTCATTGCCTGTTTTACTGGCTTTTCATGGGAACTCACTTGCGGGCAAACCCCGAGGCTTGGGTCTTTTAGAAGGCAAGTTTTTCCAAATGTTATTGGGCCAGTTTCCCATTGTCCTGTCAGCTGTCTCGTGCCCCCTTCGGCATGGTCAGCCGGGACTTTATCAGCTTACAAGGGCCACGAGCGAGCATGGCAGCAGGTCACGGGGAGCAACGAGTCCTGTGATGCCCCTTCCAACCGCCGACCCTCACCTGGACAGGCGTGGCTGCACTGCCCAGCCTCTGGAAGGGACAAGGGGCCCTGGGCTGGGCGGGAGGGGTGGACATTGGTCACAGAGGTGGGGGTGACAGATGCAGGTTGAGTCTGGTAATCAAAATAGAATATTTGAGGCCTCGGAGAAATCCTGGTGGCTTTGGGATTTTATATTTGAAAGAATTTCAGACTTAGAAAAACGTTGCTAAAATAGTACAAAAAATTCCTGTGTGCCCTTCAGCCAGGTTCTCGAGATGTGAACATTTTGCTGTTTGGAGTCTCTCTCTCTTATACAGATATATAAGAATTTTAAAAAACTGCAGTCTTCCCAGGATGCGTTCACACACCAGAGATTCTGAAATCTTTTTCCCCTTCACAGGCCCGGCCTTGGTAATCTTCCCCGGAGGACCAGCAACAGCTGGGATACTGACACGAACAAACGATCTGATTGGACGGAAACTGCTCAATGGAGAGTCTGTGGACCGTGTGATATTGCTCGGACATCGGGGATGGTACAGGAATACCAATAGGCTGGCCTCCAAGACAGAAGGGTAATAGGAGACAGAACACGGCTGTCTTCACCCACAGTATCAAGGGGTGGGGGGCCGCGTCCCGTGCTGTGTCAGGTTGCACCAGACGCCCCTCCCTCCTGTTCCTTCGTTCTCTCGTCAAAGCCAAACACGGTCTTGACGATTTCTCACACCTCCGCACCTGACAAGTGAAACCCTGGCCATCAGATGCCTCTCACTCTGACTGCCTGTCTCTCCAGCTCAGATTCAAAGCAGTGCAGGGCAGAACGTATGTTCTTCTCTTGGGTGTTCAGGCCAGAGAGGCCAACGCTTCTTCACAGTGTCCCTGTCCTTCACCCTCCCCAACGCCGACCGAGCATCCTGCATCCCTCTGCCCCCTCCCCATTCCTCCCCACGCCCATTCCTGTCTGTCTTCCCCCGACACCTACCGCTCCAGAGGGTTTCTGCTGGGATCTCCTGACCAAGGACACGAGGACTTGGCACCTAAAGAATCTCAGACAAGAAAAATGTATGTGTTATAAGAGAGGTGCCACCGACAGAAATGCTTAAAGAGGTGATTTCAAGTCTGAAGATATAAAAATGAATTTTTAAAGCACAAGTCATTAGAAGATAGTCTACCCCTGGTTTTGGGGGTTTTTTTTTAATTGTTATTTTAAATGATCTGTGCTAACACAAATACATGCAACCCACAATTACCCCGAGACCCCTTGAGCCATACATTTTCATCCTCCCCCTGAACTTAACACATCGATAAGAATTTCCATTTTTAAAGCACATGCCGCCTGATTACCAAAGATGATGGTGAGAGGGCAGCAGCATTGGGTAACGTCGGTTGTTTGCAAGGTCAGGGTCATAATTTGGCCCTGAAGCGTGCTCTGCCTCCCATCCAGCCTGCCTGTAGGCAGCAGCACACATCAGCCAGGCTGTGGGCAGAGCAAGCCCTGTATTTTGTGGTTACAGAAATGCCTCCTTCTGTGTGAAGCTGGCACCCATCTCTTCATGGGATGAGTAACTCCCCGTTCTTAACCACACCCTTCTCTTGGTTTACCTTAAGGGCAACAAGAAGCCCCAAAGTATTGGCTTTATCTGCCAAGTGGTGAACAAGAAATCGGGCGGTATGATGAGACCACAGACAGGATGATCCAGGGATGACACCTTCTCACACGTGGTCAGTGATGGTGCTGCCGGTTGTCAGTCATCCCCTTTCTCTGAACTACCAGGGTGAAAATGTTGGTTCCGCTTCCTCTGGGGTGGGTTCAGGTCTGCTTGGCTCCTCGTTGGCCTCAGTCGCGATGAGTGCAGACACGCTGCCTTCGGATTCTGGAATCTACTCACCCCCACAAGGCCTGGCAGCCCACCTATAAACAGGTTTCCATGACTTCAGTTTCCAGGGTAAAGTCATAGAATGTCAGAGTTGGAAGGAAGCTCTTATTGGTGATGTATGGAAAGGTTAGGCAAAGGCAGGCTCCCACACAGAGCAAGTTCTATGAACTGGGGCAGACAACACAACTTCTAATCCCAGAAACCATCAGACCACTCGGGCTGATGTCAGCCTGGTCTCCCGGGTGGTCTCGCTCGGTCTCTCTTCCTACACTGGCTTCCCCTGCCCAGAGGCAGGGAGCAGGAAACCACCGCGCTCCACTGTCACACTGGCTGGTTTTTAAGTCTCGGGGAACTTCCCAGGGTTCATGGTGGAAAGATCTATGGAGAGGTAGCTCTTCCCTTGAAACCGCCTAACCAATTGACCAAACGTTTTCCTAAAAACACGAAATGAAGAACCTAATTTCTTCGCAGCCAAACCCAGAAGCTTAAGAAAAACTCCCCCATATCCTGAAGTTTTCATCTCTGGACTGTCCCCTCCAGGATATGGAGTCCAAATCGTCACAAGTCAAAAGGCAGTGGGGCTTGGGGGTGACAGGCAAGGGGGAGTGATGGTGATTAGAACGAGGTCAGCCCAGTTTGCTCCAGAACAGAGTGCTAACCGTGAAGTCCGATTGTCACCTTCTTGAATTGTTGCTTCTTGTTCCTGCATGCTGGGTCACGGGGAGAGGGTGTTGTTTAGGGGGAAAAAAAGAAAGGAAAAATAGAAGGGGATAAAAAGTCCATCCGTGGAAATATAAGCAGAAAAGCTATTGACTCTGTGCCTCTGCTAGTTTCATTTTTTTTTAAGTACAGCGTTTTTAATAGACCAAAAGAGAATCTTTGGGAGGAAATGTGTGTGCGAATATGTTTATACAAAGAGTATATAATATGTTTAGTGATTGTGGACTATTGTATAAATAAGCCTTAGATATATAAAATACATAAACATATAAAATATCATTTTATAGGGTAGCGGACATTTAAGGACTTCCAAGCCTTTCGTATCTTTGTTCTGAATAGAGCCCAGGCGGGCAGCCTATTCCCTTCATATATGCCGCTGTGAGGCTGAGAGGTTCGGTGGGGTTTTCTGGTTTTGTAATTTGTTACATGTACGGATTCCTTTGCAATGTCTGCTGCGTGTACATTGCTGTTGTTTACCCACATGGAGTCATCAGAGATTTGTTCCACACTTTGCATCTTGGAAAACCAAACAGGACTTTCTAGCAAGAAGAAAAACACACGGAACATGCCCTCACTGTTGGATAACTCCGAGCTGGACCCCTGACAGCTGGAAGTCTGCGGGCCTGGGGACTTGAATATCAGCGTGGTCTCTCACTGCAACATTTGGTGTCGGACATCTCTTCTCCTGGGAGGGAGTCACATGCTCTGGTTGAGTCCTTTTTTTTCTTGGACTTAACATGTTCTAGAGGGTCCCCGGAAGTCGTGGCCCTAAAACATCTTGCTCTAGCATCAGATTGCAAAGAACTCTCCGTGTGTTAATTCTCTGTTTTATGTTCTGCGATTTGGTAATAAACTCCATGCTTTTAAGCTCAGAGTTTTACTTGTTTGGGTTTGTGGCTCTAATGAAGTGTTAATTTTGCCTTTACCACCCCGGCTGATCAGAAGAGGAAAGGGGCAAAAAAGGTGGGGGGCTCCCTTGCTGGAGAAGTCCTCTCTCACCTCCCACATCGGCCGAGACGTGGACCAGAACTCGTGCGTGAAATACCACCTGCTCCCCTTGCAGGGAGGGCTCGGGCATGTGGGCGTGGAGAGATCACCCAAGTCTCCTTTGCCAAGAATGCTTGTCGTCCCAGCTGTAAGCTCGTGAAGGCCGGTCTGTGCTTAGTAGGAAACAATAAAACAGGTCTATTTTCACTCAATAGAGCTGTCCTTTGGGCCTGGTTTTTGCAGTAGCTGGCTGGGAGAGGGGAGTACTTCATCATAGATTAAATGTCAACATTGAGCATTTAATTTTCCCAAAGGGTCTGGATCCTGGCAGCCACTCTGGACCTTTAGAAGGGAGGGCTGGGAGGAGAGGAATCACTTGGTGGAGGGGAATTGCTTCGTTTCGGTGGAGATGGCTGGGAGCAGAGATGAGCCACGGACACTTCCTTTCAACCAGGCTGAGTGACCCCCATAGAGCAAACCCCGATCTGCACACCACTCGGGCCCAAGGAGGCTTCTTAGTGCAGAGGTTGGGAGCACAGCCTCAAGAGCCGGGCTGCCTGGCACGCACCAGCTGTGTGGCCTTGGGCCAATCAGTGCACCTCTCTGTGGCTCAGGGTCTTTTTCTGGAAAATGAGGATGTAATAGCATCTGCCTGAGGGTGTTAAAGATGAAAGGTCTGAAAGCATGCTGAGTGCTTCGAACAGTGCTTGGCACATACAAATACACAATGAAATCAGTGTTTACCACCACAATTTTTGCCACATCTACCAACCACCCATATATTTGTTTTACTTTAAAAGAAAATAAAAATTTTTAGCCCTCACCTGAGGATATTTTTTCATAATTTTTTTTTTTTTTTAGATAGAGTGGGAGGGAGGGAGAGAGAGAGAGACATCAGTGTGGGAGAGACACAATTGGTTGACTCCTGCATGACCCCAGCTGGGCTGGGCTAAAAAATTTTGTTACTAAATGTATTGGGGTGATGTTGGTTCATAAAATTATATAGGTTTTGCCCTGGCCAGTTTGGCTCAACAGTTAAAGCATTGGCCCTCAGATCGAAGGGTCATGCGTTTGATTCTGGTCAAAGGCACGTAACTGAGTTGCAGATTCAAGCCCCGGCCCTGGTAGGCGTCATGCAGGAGGCACCCAGTCTATGTGTCTCTCTCACATTGATGTTTCTCTCTCTCCCTCCCTCCCTCCCACCCTCTCTAAAGATCAGTGGGAAAATATCCTCCAGTGAGGAAGATTAACAACAACAACAAAAAATCATATAAGAGTACAATTCTATAATACATCCTGTATTATATTATTTACTTAACATCCTTTCATTGACTCTATTTTAATTTAATTAAAAATGCAATGTCTCCACAGCAAATGGAAACCCAGTCTAACGCACAGGTGTACCAGGTCGCTGCGGAGCAGCTCACGTGTCCCGAGTCCCAGCCACCTGCCAGGAACTGTGCCAAGGGTCTTGACTTGTTAGATCCTCACAGCCCTGTGAGGTTAGAACTGTTATTTTGCAGATGAGGAAACTGAAGCACAAGAGATGAGCAAATTTGCCGACAGTTACACAATTAGTATATGTCTCCATGTCCACACCTCTGTCTCTCTTCCCCCCTTCCCGTAAGGACAGCAGTCAAACTGGATTAGGGTCCACCCCAATGACCTCCTCTTAATTACATCCTCAAGACCCTGTTCCCAAATAAGGTTGCATTCACAGATACCAGGAGTTAGGACTTCGACCTACCTTTGGGAAGGGGAGGGAAAGGGACACAATGCCATTCAACCCAGAACAGTCGCCTAAATAGGGCTCTGAGCCTGGGGCTGAAGGGCTGCAAGTTCCAGAGGTGTTCCAGGGGGGCGGCAGGCCAGGCTCCCCCTCTCCGCGGTCAGGGCGGACAGGGCGGACAGGGCGGGATAATGCTTCCCTACTTCCATGACGTTTAGCGCCGGGTCCAGGTGCTAACGAGAATCAGCCACCTCCCGCCCGTCGGGGTGCTCTGGGAGAGGCTGAGCAGATGAAGCTGAGCAGCAATGCCCCCCGCTTCCCAGCCGCCCCTCGGGAAACCTTGGCCGCAGGAAGGTGGTGGAAACGCGTGTTCCAAACTGCAGGCGCAGCAAACCCAGACATCAGCAGCCTTCGCTGGGGAATGCGCCAAGAAAGAACAGCAGTAAAGACAGTGTGGGGGTCGTTTATTTTCATCTGTTTCAGGGAAAACTTAACAAGAATGATCTCTCTACTGAGAGGGTTTGGAGAGGAGGGCGAGGGTGGGGGAGCGAGGAGTTTCTGGCTGTCAGACGAAGGTGTCCATCGCTGCAGGGGCTGCTGAGATTTCGTAGAACTGGGAGGTCCTCATCTTGAGCTCCCGGGCCAGCTGACAGATGGACAAAGGCCAACAGCAGTGCACGGCCAGCCAGTCCTCGCACAGCGTGCCCTGCAGGGAGACCCCGTGTCTGTGCCGGCGCAGCACACAGCTCATCCCATTACCCAGGGTGCTCTATAGCACTGCCTGGTGGCCCGTCCCAGGCACAGCCCCAGGGCCCACCAACACCCCTGGTCAACACGCAGGGCCCCAGCTCCACTGGCTCCCCAGGTCCCAGCCCGCTCCACTGCTCAGCAGGCCTTGCAGTTCAAAGACCTGCTCGTTGGGCTTTGGATACAGGTTCACACCTGAAGGCACTGCTTTTCCTGTCAACATCTTTATGCTCCTCTCATATCATTATAGTCATTTTATTTATTTACTTGAAATGGGTAATAAGTCCACATGGTCCAAAATTCCCACAGTAAGAAGGGATAGGAAGTAAAAAGCAAACACCCCGTCTACGTCCCCAGCCACTTGGGCGCCTGTCCAGGGACAAGCAGTGTTTGGCATCTTGCTATCTACAATCCCAAATTAATCTGTCCACCCAAGTGTATGCATATATAGTCTTTTTGTGCAAATAGTTGCATACTGCAATGCCATGCCCTTTTTTTATTCCACTTAAAAATATATCTTAGGGGCCACGTCATATGAACATATAGAGATGCTTTTTAACTGTCCACATCTTAATGTGTATGCTGGCTGCCCTCAGTCTTTCATTGTAACTTAGTCTCAGCTGCGCTGAACATTTGAAGGGTCCCCAGGGAGCCCCCAAAGTGAGTTCTGTATATGCTACATATACTGCATTTTAAGTCAGACCATCCCAAATATATCTTCCAAATCTGATGCAGTTCTACCTGTCATGTTCTCCTGATGTGACGAGAGAAACAGGAATGGCCCCTTGACTAATCATCTGCATTATAATAAGGCCCCCTTGGAAATACGGAAATACCCTTCACAATGGGAACTTTAGTTAGCATACATCCTAGTAACAGATGAAATCAGAAATGTCTTCCCTTCCCTTTCCCAGAGTCTTTCACTACATGTGCTTTTAAGCATCCTTGACCAGACTTCTTTTTTTTTTCCTTTTTTTTCTTTTTTGGAAAAGCACAGGTTTGAAAGGCATCTGGGTTCTCATACAGACCCAGGTTGACATATATGTTCAAACACACTTACCCATATTTTATGTCTCTCCCTGGTGCCAACTCTCAGTGCAAAGGTGGACCCAGGTAACAATGGCCAACAAAAACACTCTCCATAATGCCTGGCGATGTCACACTCAAGACACACGGGACAAAACAGACCACAGAAACCTGTCAATAACCACATAAAAGAAAGCCCAGGGGCTCAGATGTGTGATCAGCCACTTCCCACCTTAAAGAGCATTTATAAGCCTATGCCATCAGTTTAATGCAATCAGGGACAGAGAAGGAATAACCAGCCCTCGAAACTCGGTGTATGGAAATTACCATAACTGAGCCGTGTCAAAATTGTCTCCTTTTGTTAAACACTGGCAAAACTGAACCTGATAAAATTCTGTTAGCGGTCACTATGGTAATTGTTTTTTCCCTGTCAGGAGAAAGCACTGAATCATTTTTTTTTTTCCCAGTTGAATCACAACCGGCACTTCTATTAGGTTTACCTATCTAGTTTCAATATTTAATATAGACACAGTATATGATACTTTTGAATAATGGGCATCTTTTTCTATAAATGGGGTTGAAAGCTCTTTAACGCTGCACTGATTCTGCCAGCTCTTCTTATCAGGACTTTATGCTATTTCTCAGGTCAGGAGTTTACTCTAATTTTTGCTGTTTTACTGGGGCCACTGACATCTGCCAGTTTTAATCTGTAAACTATTAGAGGCTTGGTTCTTTGAACGCCAACTGGAAACAGTTTGTCATTTATAAACTGTCTCTCATTTATTCATTTATTCATCTTTAACTATGGATACCACTCCTGAATATTCTGCATGAACCATCTAACACAGAGGTTCTGTTTCAAATATGTTTTGGGTCACAGACCCTTTTGAGAATATGGTGATAGCTATGAACTCACTCCTCAAGGGAAAAGAGAAATTACATGCACAGACATGCCAGATTATGCATTCAATTCCACAGGGTGTGGGATCCATTGAAAACTAACAATGGACCTCAGGTTAAGAAGCCCTCGTGCACAGTTAAGATGTTATGTCATCTCGCACTGGGAAAGATGACAACCTTGATGAATGCAAGTAATTAGGACTAAGAAATAGGGAAAAAAGCTAATCATGTTTTATGTTTTCAATAAATGTTATCGAGGCATACTTTATATACAAGAAAATGCATGGATCATAAATTTTCAGTTAGATGAGTGTAACAATCAGCTTCAACCAAGTACCAGACGGGTAGAACATTTGTGCCTCTTCCCAGACGATGCCACCTTCCCACCCCGACTCCAGAGGCAACCACTAATCTGATTTCTATTCCCATAAATAAGTTTTACCTCTTCTTGGATTTTGCATAAATGGAATCATGTTTACTTTTGTAATTGTCTTCTTTTGTTCAACATCTTGTTTCTTGAGATTCACCTATGTTGTTATGTAAATCTGTGGTCTGTTCTTTATATTGTTGGATAGTATTACAATGTATGTGTATTCTACAAGTTGTTTATCCATTCTCCCATTGAGTATTCCAGTTTTTGCTATGATGAATATGTACTAGGAACACCATATACAAGTCTTTCTATCGGCGTCTCAACTTGGGTGGATTCCTAAGAGTGGCAGTGCTTGGGTCATGGGCTAGGTTTATGTTTAACTTCATGAGAAACTAACAAAGACTTCTCCCAAGTATTTGTTCCATTTAACACTCCCACCAGCAATGCATGAGAGTTTGTTGTTCTGCTTCCTCGCCAACAGTTGCTATTGTCATTCTTTTTATTTTAGCCATTCTAATGGGTGTGAAATGGTAGTCATCACAGCCTTTTAGTGCACCAGACACAATGGCTCATGTACCATGTCATGAGCACACTAGAAGAACTTCCTGCCAAAGGCTCTTCTCTGCCTACCTGTCTCTCCCTCCCTCCCCAACAATGAGAAGTGCGAAGTCCCACTCCCAAATTCAGTGGCCGAGAAGCAAAAAGCTGGGAATGCTGTTTTATCTCAGAATCCAACGGATGCTCCAGGACTCTGGGCTTCTTCAGTGCTGCATAGAGGGTGAACTAGCAGGTCCACAAGGGACATGAGGACTGGGGCGGTTGAGGGTTGACAGGGAGCAGCCTGTCTTCGAGGAACATCTATTTCATCCACTCAGAAGTCTTAAGATAATCGCTACATCTTATACTGTAGATAGCACATGGCTGAAAACAAACTCTGAATTCAGCCGAATATTGGTCTGGAATGTTCCACTCCACATTTTTTTAGAAAGCATTACTCCCAGTGAAATCAGCAGGCTCCACCCAGCACTGACAACTGGTAGGAACAGCTCAGAGGACAGCAAATGGCCCAGGAAACTTACAGTGAGTGCACAGTGGTCATACTATATGCAACCTTGAATTAGGGACTTCGAAATCATGGCACATAAAAATCAATCAAATCTCATTTTATGCATGCATTACAAAATAGTGTAACAATCCCCCCAAATAAGAAATTAATCAAAAATTGCAAAATTATAAAGTTGGCAAGCTAAGTGAATAACAGTGTTTACACCATTGCCTGAACTGCACCACTCTGGCTAGCAGAGAGACATGCCCTCCATCCTCAATGGGTATATCAAAAAGAAAGTGTTGCTTTGTGCATTGGAACTCCTGTATCTTATTTTTATGACTTGTAAGCCTTTTTTTAAAAACGCATACTGTTATTTTTATTTTCACTCTTTTCAACATATAACCATGTCATCAAAGTATTCATTAAGAGGAAGTACTACATGCTAAAGGAAACACACCCAAATCCAGTGAACTTAGGAAAGAAATCAGATATAACAAACACTGTGAAAGTTGTATTATATAATAGCTAATGCTCATACAAATTTCACCCTGTGCCAAGCCCTGTTAAAAATACTTTGCATTAATTCATTGAATTCTCACAATTCTATAAAATAGATGCTCTTATTATGCCCATTTTACAGATGAGCACACTGATGCCCAGAGGATTTAAGTAATTCACCCAAGTTCATACATTGATAGGAAGAGACAGAGGTCAGATATGAACTCAGGTAGTCTAGCCCCAAAGTTTTTAAGACTATAGATAACCCGTGTAACTACACGTCCTCATGTTTTATGTACTTATCTAGCATGTGACAATGGTTGTGGATTTGTGTGCTCTGACACAGCACCCTCATCGCCACTACGTTACATTTATTCCTGTGGGACAGTCTTAAATCATGCCACTCCTTCAGGAAGGATCTTTGCATCAGGTGTTACTGCCCTGGACTGCCCTGGTACACAGTGTGGTCGACACAGTAGGCTCGTGCTGCAAGACAAGTGCACAAGACTCGGCTGGTGGCATCCTTTGTCTTAAAGAGTCTCTAGAAGAAATTTTTGTGACATGTATCACAGGCCAAGAGTAAGTATCCAGAATATACAAAAACTCCTACAAATCAGTATACAAAGGATTAAACAAAAAAGAAAATGGGCATGGGACATGAACAGGTCATTCACCGAAGAAGAAATACCAATGGCCAAGGGCAAGCATGAAAAGTTGCTCAGTGTTGTTAGTGACCAGAAAAATGCAGATTAAGACTATCAGAAGTCATGTATTACCCATAAGATTGGCAAATGTTTCCATGTTTTTAAATATCCGATGTTGTGGGGAACCATGGCAAAGGGTCTCCATGCAGTGATGACAGTGAGAATTGGCACTGCCACTCGGGGAGGCGACTTGGACGAAACCAGTACTCTTTTCAATCCTCTAGGACCCAGCAACTCCACTTATCAGTACCTACCCTGGAGTAATGCTTCCACATGCTCACAGAGGCAGCTACAAGGATACCCACTGCAGCATTACAATTTAAAACAACTTAAATGTACATTAATTGCCGAAAGTATATCCAAACCAGGATGGTGTAAATCATACCTTAATTGAGAATGCAATGAAAGGTCAATTAAGTACCCACAGAGTTAAATCTCTGAGATGTATTGTGAGTTAAAAGATAAAATTGTGTAATGATATGTACAGCATAATACTACTTGCACTTTGTTTAAAGAGTTACAGGGCTTAGGCTCAAAAGGGATTTAAGCCAGAAATTCAGCCTCTGCCTCTGCCATGCAAAGGCCCTGTGGTTATGCACACTTCTGCAGCCTAAATATCCCTGGCCTGTGTTCTGAGACGGACCCCACCCTCGTGCATGGGACTCACAGGGGAGCCAAGATACAAAGCAGCAGCCTACAAAAAACCAGGTGTGGAGCCAGACAGCAGACGTGGGAACGGCGGGTGGAGGCCGCAGCAGGGCACGTTTCAGATGTTGGCACAAAAAGGTGGACCCAGCCCTGGCCGGTTTGGCTCAGGGGTTAGAGCGACGGCCTGCGGTACAGAGAGACCCGGGTTCGGTTCCCACCAAGGGCACGTACCTCGGTTGCAGTTTGTCCCCGGCCCTGGTTGGTCGCGCGGGTGGCAGCCACTCGGTGTGTCCCTTCACATCGATGTTTCTCTCTCTCTCGCTCGCTTCCTCTCTCTCCCTCCCGCTCTATCTGAACAAAAAATGTCCTCGGGTGAGGATTAAAAAAAAAAAAAAGGCGGACCCATCAGACAAAAGAGTCCCTTCGAACTGGGACGGGGCAGGCACGCTCATGTGTCATGTGTCGTGGGTAGGAGTGTAAATTAGGACAACTTCCAAGTGGAGAGCCATTTGGCAACATCCAGCAAGATTTAAAGTAGTACATTTAAATGTGCACCATACAATTAGCCAACAGAGAGTCACACACAGGCAAAAAGACATCGGTCTGAAGCTAGTCACAGGGCATTGGTTTGAATAGCAAAACATCTGGAAACCACATATAGATCCACAATGGGAATTTTGGAATAAATCATGGTACATTCACACAATGGAATCTATGCGGCAATTTAAAATATTAGCTCCAGAAGTACTGATAGTAGTGTATATCTGATCACCTAGATTTGTTAAAATAAATGTGCAGAACAGTGTGTTCACAGTTCTACTCTTTGTGTAAACTGTACACACTCACACACAGCGAAAACGATCTGGAAGGGTAGATACCAAAACAGTAGCCATGGTGATCTCTGGTGGCTGAGATGACAAGATATGCCTTTTTTCTCATACAGTCTTTTGTATTTTTTCTTTTTTACGATGACTATGTGATACTTTTATAATAAAAAATT